AGGTGATCTGCACGGTTTCTCCCGGGTTGGCTGACACCGAGGGCCGGCTGAGTCAGCGCTGCCTGGACCAGGGAACCAGCAAAGTTGAGAGGGCACATATCCTCCTGCCACGGCTCTCCAGCCTGGGGCACCACCTCTGCTACCTGCCCCAGCACAGCCCTCTTGCTGTAGGTCTGGCTGCATTCAACAGCAGCCGTCGGGTTCAGAACTAGCACAGGTTAGTTACCCAGAACATACAGACTCTTTACGATTACCATTGATCAATAAACTAAGCTGCAGACTAGCTATAGAGCTCTAAAAAGCAATTGCAATGACAATAAAGATAATCTCCAGGGGAAAAAGATCACTCTTCAGAGCCAAGGCTGCAAATCTCCAAAAGGAGCCCCAAGGAGAACAAACCCATTGGTCAGTCCATATGACTTGGTGCTGAATTCTCTTCCCACAAACTTGGTCCAAAAAGGGATGACATCTATACCTTTTCTTTTTTTTTACTGATGTATAAAGTGCAGGGATGTGGCTGTGGGCAGACAATTGTTCCATGGAATCAGCACAAAACATCCTTATCTGCATCTGCAGGGAGTAGACAACAGCCAGTGTGAGATAGGTGAGGAAATGGGGCAAACAGCCTCTACTGCATTCCACATTCCTTATCAGGGTGTCTAGAGCACAGACCACTGAATCTTCACTCAGCCCCTGTGACTGCCCTGGCACAGGTTCTTTGTTTGCAGCATCCAGCTTTGTGATTTGTGCTTGTTTTGTGCTTCCAGCATCTGAAAGAGGGGAGCCCCACTGCATTCCCCAGGAAGGGAGAGAGCGGGCCTCTGGCACAAAGGCTCCCCAACAGTAGATAAAGGCACAGCACCAACATCCCACCCTGTGAGCTCGACCAACCAGCCACCCCACAGACCCACGTTCCCGGGAGCTGTGCCACTCCCACGTCCTCCAGCAGCACCGGCAGCACCGCTGCCACCCACACACAGCAGACAGCAATGGGCAACCCCGAGCACCCAGCCACGGCCACCCTGCCAGCCACCTGGATGCTGAGCGACCAGCAGCACTGTCCTGGGCACCACAGGAGGAGACAGACCTGGGATTGGACCCCAGCGATGGTCAACGTGGCTGTGGAGACAGAGGTGGATCCAGAGTCATGAGGGGATGTCTGAAGGTCTCTTGCTGTTTAAATATATCTCAGTGACCCGGGCAGTGCCACGTGTCTTCTGCTGGAGCCACCATAGTAGCCGTTAATCATGGAGCAGGAGATGCAAGTGTTTCCTCTCAGCATCACATACTTTAAGGGTGGTTGAGCAGGCCCTGCATCGAGACCAGAGTGGGAAAGAGGGGTAAGGGTGGGGGTCAGCCCGTGCCCAGGAGCACAGCCCTCCTCAGCCAGTGGCACAGCGATGGGTCTCCTCTGCCCACAAGCACACTGGTGGTACACCCTGTCACTGGCCCTAGTCCAGGCACTCCCTGAACCAGGTTGGAGCCAGAGCCTGGACCCTCTCACTGCCTGCTCCCCTTGGGGCACAATTCACATCTGTCTGTGAGAGCAGGCAGCCCAGGGGCAGTGGCTGCAGTGGGCACCCAGTGCTTGAAGCAGCATGGAGACCACCCTGCCAGTGCCCTACGTGGGGCCACATCCAGGCCAGTGGCCAGTGGCTGCAGGACAGGAGGACCCCAACCCACGAGAAGCTGCATGGGGACATGATGTGTGACAGAGGTAATGGGAGCATCTCCAGCACACCGTGGGCAGCAGACAGGAGCCAGCATCATGAAGGTGTCACAGACAAAGCCCTGCAAAGCAAGAGCAACCACAGCCACAACCCCAACCCGTGCAAAATGCCCGTGTGGAGTTAGGCACAGCAACGAAGGCGAGGGAAAAAAACCCTCAGCATCAGCATTAACCTGACCAACATAGCTGCTGCTGTCTGCACTACCACAGTAATAGACAGCCTCGTCCTCGGCTTGGGGCCCCGCGGACG